AAGCCCAAGATTCATTTGAAGAAGCATATCTACTTATTCAAACCCATTCCATGCCTGCTGCTAGTATCGCTCAGATTCTTGCAGAATCCTTTCTGAAGGTATGTCATCTTTATTTTCTTCATGTAAAATTTGGTGTTGTACCTGACGCAATCCTAGGAGATATATGGGTGATAAGCCTTCCAGATAATTGTTTTGCTTTATATGTATTTTCTGATTTGAATTTTTACCTAGTGTACAATTTAATGAATGACTAGACCATCGGACAAAAGATCAATAGCAGTGAGTAAAACTCAACCAGTAATAGATAAGCTTGGTTGGCGGATGGATTCTAGAGTTGAACTGGTTAATGCTGTTACACAATGATAGGTTGAGGCTGTATGACTGATCATCCATCATGTTGAAGGCTTAATTTTCTCTTAGGGATGATGAGCTTCAGATTAAACGTTTCTTGAACGCATGCACATTAGCTATACACTTGTCTAATTAGTTTTAAGTTGAGGTGGTTTAGCTTGGCAAAAATGCCTTCACGTATTGTGTTTTATTGAAACATTCATTTTCTTTGTTAAATCTCATATTTTTTCCTTCTCTTAAAATTCTTGTTTCAATTTGTTACATGGTAAAGCCCTCTGTAATTGCTTTCTCTCTGCCACCTATTCTTCTTTTGTGTTCTTTCACGTAAGATCCCTAATCTATTATCCTGGTTGCAGGGCTTACTGGCAGCTCATCGTGGAGGGTATATTGATTCTCAGAAGGAGGAAGGTCCTGCTCCGCTTCTGTGGAGATTTTCAGATTTTCTGAAGTGGGCAGAGCTCTGTCCTTCCGAACAAGAAATTGGTCATGCATTAATGCGTCTTGTGATCACTGGGCAAGAAATACCGCATGCCTGTGAAGTAGGTGTCTCCTGCAATAGTTTGTCTAATGATATCGGCATGCTTAATATTACAGAAACCTTAGGAGTGTTCGTTAGAATAAGCTCTTTGGCTGGTTTTCATAATTTTACAAAGGTGGCTATGCAAATGTTTGAATAGGATAATTTAACGGCAATGCTGTGTTTCAGGTTGAGCTCCTTATCCTCTCTCATCACTTCTACAAGTCGTCCACATGTCTTGACGGAGTCGATGTCCTTGTAGCACTTGCTGCCACTAGGGTTGAGGCTTATGTCACTGAGGGTGACTTCTCATGCTTGGCTCGCCTAATTACCGGAGTTGGCAACTTCCATGCTCTTAATTTCATTCTCAGTATTTTAATCGAAAATGGGCAGCTTGATCTATTACTGCAAAAGTTTTCCGCTGCTGCTGATGCGATCACTGGCACTGCCCAGGCTGTCAGAAGTTTCCAGATGGCTGTTCTGACCTCGTTGAATCTCTTTAACCCAAATGACCATGATGCATTTGCTATGGTATGTCGTAAAGAGCTTCGACCTTGGTAATATTAGAACTGAAATTACCGAATGCAGCCTTTATTTGATTGATTTATGATTCATTTTTTCTGTTATTATCACTAGCTACTAGAATCTTAGAATGGCTATAAACCATACTAGTTTACTTCATTGATACATCAACCTTTAAACAGGAACATCCCGTTTCATATTTCTCTACCTTGTGTGCTTCAGCAACTCGAGGATAGTAATATTCCTAACATATATCTTTCTGTCTATGGGCTTTTCGTGAATATGCACTATGTTTTGTTTGCAGGTGTTTAAGCACTTTGACATGAAGCACGAAACAGCTGCTTTGCTAGAAGCCTGTGCGGACCAGGCTGCACAGCAATGGTTTCTACGGCATGACAAGGATCAGAACGAGGATCTCCTCGATTCAATGCGTTACTACATAGAAGCTGCCGAAGTTCATTCTTCTATCGATGCTGGGAATAAAGCACGCAGAGCTTGCGGCCAGGCTTCCCTCGTCTCCCTTCAAATAAGGATCCCAGATTCAAGGTGGCTCCATTTATCCGAAACAAACGCGAGAAGAGCACTAGTGGAGCAATCCCGTTTCCAGGAGGCTCTGATCGTAGCGGAGGCATACGGTCTTAACCAGCCGAGCGAATGGGCTCTGGTGCTTTGGAACCTGATGCTGAAACCAGAACTAGCGGAAGAATTTGTAGCTGAATTTGTGGCGGTGCTCCCTCTACAGCCTTCGATGCTAATGGAGCTGGCGAAGTTTTACAGAGCGGAGATGGCAGCAAGAGGCGACCAGTCTCAGTTCTCGGTTTGGCTGACAGGAGGGGGATTACCGGCCGAGTGGGCCAAGTACATGTGGAGATCCTTCAGGTGTTTGCTGAAGAGAACCCGGGACTTGAGGCTACGCCTTCAGCTCGCAACGACTGCAACCGGGTTCTCGGACATTGTGGATGCATGCATGAAAGCTTTGGATAAGGTCCCTGAGAATGTTGGACCCCTTTTGCTCAAGAAAGGACATGGAGGAGCTTATCTGCCACTCATGTGAAATGCAAATCACCCAAAGATTGAAAAGGTATGTACCAATCAATTAGTCAATAATAACAGTGACTGGTACGAAGATAGTGTTGGGAAGTTGACCAAAGCAAGGCGCCTAAACGTCCTTGAAGGGTTTTGCCGATCGAATTTTTGTGGTGGCAAATTGGCCTTTGGTGTTGTGGTTGTGGGAATTGAAGTGTGTGTGTTGTTGAATCCCCCATTCTTTCTTTTTTTTTTTTTTGAAACTTTGAGATATTTTTGGCCATGAGAGAGAGAGAGAGAGAGAGAGAGAGGTATATTTGTACAGTGTAATAACTGTCTTTATGCAAATTTCGATCGACATGCTTTGTTCAATGATTTCTTGACTGTATTCAGATTTTTTATGTGTCTCGTTGGGGCTGGACTCTCGGTTCCTTTCCTTTCTTCCGGATTTCCCCATGGAATATAGAGTTGCTTAACATGGGATATATTTATAGAACAAAAAATAATAATAGAGTAATATGTAATAAAGATTTTAATGACTCAATCCGTTTTTTCCATATGGATATGCCAAAATTTCCTTTGGAATTCCTTCTAAATTTCAACGATTCATCCGAAGTTATATTACATGTTTCATTTTTGTTCCTTTGTGGCATTATCTCATGAGTTTCGATTCCTCATTTTATTAAACAATTAACATGTAGGAGACTTCGGTCTGTGTTTTCTTTTTATAATATGCCCAAACAAGGCATTTACCTAAACACCTCATGGCTCCATTTTTTCCTTTTATTTTTGGCTAAAATTAAACTCGTAACGATCCTGATTAAAAAAAAAAAAAGCGAGAGAGTACAAGTTTTCTAATAAACCGAACCAAAATCAAATCCAAATACAGCATTAGCAAAAAAAAAAAAAAAAGGAGACGTAATTTAGCATACAATATCCATTTTAATTCTCCAAAAATAGATAAATAAATGTTCTTGACTTGTAGACCAGAGAGAATGGTTCGGATTACCTTCCTTTTCCCCTCCTTTTCCTCACGCCATTCGGAGAACGCAGAACATCTTTTCAACCCAAGAAGACAAAAGAAAATGATGATGAACAAACGGAAGTTAGTTACTGATTCGGATTAATAAAATATCAAGAAAACCAGACACAAACCCTTTTCCCAGCTGTTGTTGTTGTTGTCGTCGTAGGTCTTAAAAAGAAGGAAGAACAATGGCTGCGGTGACGAAGGCGATGCCATTCGATGACTCAGACAGCTCCATAATCTGCTATGCACCGAGCATGATCACGACCAATGGCGTGTGGCAAGGCGATAACCCTCTCGATTTCTCCCTTCCGCTCTTCATTCTTCAGCTCACGTTGGTCGTTCTCACCACCCGAATCTTCGTCTACATCCTCCGACCCTTTCGCCAACCCCGTGTCATAGCCGAGATCCTTGTAAGTCCTCATCTGCAATCCCCATATGCCATATGCTTCCGTTTTTTTCTCGGGTATTGAACGTCATCTCGGTCTTTGCAGGGCGGAATCGTCCTGGGACCATCAGTGCTCGGCCGCAACAAGAAATTCGCAAACATGATCTTCCCTCAGAGAAGTGTAATTGTGCTCGAGACAATGGCCAACGTCGGTTTACTTTACTTCCTTTTCCTCGTCGGTGTCGAGATGGACATTACGGTGGTACGGAGGACGGGAAAGCGCGCTCTGACCATCGCGGTTGGCGGAATGGTCATACCTTTCCTTCTTGGCTGTGGTTTCTCTTTCATCATCCGAAAAGAAAATGACCATTTGAGCCAAGGAACCTACATACTTTTCCTCGGTGTAGCCCTCTCAGTCACTGCATTTCCCGTCCTTGCGAGAATTCTGGCTGAGCTCAAGCTTATAAACACTGACCTCGGGCGATTAGCCATGTCTTCAGCTCTCATCAATGACATGTTTGCTTGGGTTCTTCTTGCATTGGCCATCGCCTTGTCTGAAAACGACAATTTGGCGTCACTCTGGGTCCTGCTCTCTAGTGCAGCTTTTATCGCCATATGCTTCTTTGTTGTTAGACCAGGCATCTCCTGGATAATACGGAAAACCCCAGAAGGCGAGAACTTCAGCGACTTCCACATATGTCTCATCTTGACAGGGGTCATGATCTCGGGTTTCATCACTGATGCCATAGGAACACATTCGGTTTTCGGGGCATTTCTGTTCGGTTTGGTGATCCCAAATGGGCCTCTCGGTCTCACCCTCATCGAAAAACTCGAAGATTTTGTCTCAGGGCTTCTCCTACCTCTCTTCTTCGCCATAAGTGGCCTTAAAACCGACATATCAGCAATCAAAGGTCCTGTTACCTGGGGAGCTCTGCTCCTGATGATTCTCCTTGCATGTGTCGGGAAAGTAGCCGGTACAGTCGTCGCAGCTTTCTTCCACGACATGCCAATCCGTGAAGGGGTCACTCTCGGGCTGCTGTTAAACACCAAAGGGCTCATCGAAATGATAGTCCTCAACGTTGGGAAAGATCAGAAGGTTTTAGATGATGAGATCTTTGCTACGATGGTGATGGTAGCCGTGATTATGACTGGGATCATCACGCCTATCGCAACCATCGTTTACAGGCCCACGAAGAGGTTTGTTCCGTACAAGAGGCGAACTATCCAAAAGATGAAGCCAGACAGCGAGTTCAGGGTGCTAGTATGCATCCACACACCGCGAAATGTTCCCACCATAATCAACCTTTTCGAAGCTTCACATCCAACAAGGAGATCCCCCATATGTATCTACGTACTTCATCTTGTTGAACTAACAGGTCGAGCATCCGCCATGCTGATCGTCCACAACACCCGGAAATCTGGACGTCCGGCTCTTAACAGAACCCAAGCTCAATCAGATCACATCATCAATGCTTTCGAGAACTATGAGCAACACGCTGCCTATGTCGCAGTTCAACCTTTAACGGCTATTTCTCCATACAACACAATGCATGAAGATATAGCCAACTTAGCCGAGGACAAGCGTGTCTCCTTCATAATCATACCATTCCACAAACAGCAGACAGTAGATGGAGGCATGGAAGCCACCAACCCGGCCTACCGATTAGTCAACCAGAATCTACTCGAGAATGCACCTTGCTCGGTAGGGATTCTTGTGGATAGAGGACTAAACGGTGGCACGAGATTGGCATCAAGCACCATATCTCTCCAAGTGGCTGTGTTATTTCTCGCAGGTCCAGACGACAGAGAAGCTTTAGCCTATGCTTGGAGAATGTCCGAACACCCAGGTATCACCTTAACAGTTATGCGCTTCATTCCAGGCGAGGATGTAGCATTACCATCCTCCGCTCGTGCAACTCATCACAGCGACTCGAAGATGCTCAGAATCGATATGGACTTCGGCAAGGAAATGGAGCTCGATGACGAGTACTTGAACGTTTTCAGAACGGCAAACGCAGACTATGAGGGCATCACCTATATCGAGAAGGTGGTGAACAATGGGGAGGAGACAGTTGCAGCAATAAGATCCATGGACAGTTCTCATGACCTGTTTATAGTCGGAAGAAGACGAGGAATACCATGCCCTCTTACTGCAGGTTTAACAGATTGGAGTGAGTGTCCCGAGCTCGGGGCAATAGGAGATTTGCTTGCCTCGTCAGACTTTGCTGCCACAGTTTCAGTCCTCGTGGTCCAACAGTATGCCGGGTCATGGCAGCAAGAAGAAGACATCGATTTACCTGACAGTCCACGGAATTCAGATGAGCATATCAGTAAGGAAACACAACAACATTCAAAGGGCGGATATATTCCAAACAGCCCACACTAAACCGACGGCGAAACACCATGATTGTTTCCACAAGCTTTCCGAGAATAAGGATGGTAACTAACACCTACATGGAGAATGAGAAGCCTTGCTTCCACAGTCCTCAGTCACAATGATCCATGCAACTGTTTCAGCATTTTTTCTATTCCGACACGGTTCTTTTATTTAATTTTCCAAATCGATCCACTTTTGGAGAAACTCGATTTCGAGAATCCAATTTTCCAAACGGGAATCCTCTGTCTCTCTCCATTGCATGTAGAGTATAAATTATAAGCACTAGGTGCTGGAACCAAGCACTCAATTACAAAGCTTTCTCGCCCATTTTCTCATCATCACTCGCAAGATATCAAACTCTCACAAAACTGCTCTTCTTGGCCAATGAACCTTCAAAACAATACCACAAAGAAGAATGACAAACTTCTGAGACGAAATTTTCGAACTTCTCTTCTGGGCGGACGGAAAAATCACGAAAGATTCTTACCCAAGACAGAACTAAGACGTGGAAAACCACAGCCTCGAGCACATCCCTCCTGGCAAAATCTTCTTATGCATCAGAGATGAACAACCCTCACGCCGCCAAATCCATGACCCAAAACGCGATTAACAGGGAGGATTCGAATACCTAAAGACCCATAAAGAGCCGCGCACTAAAATAGAGAACTTTTCCGATCGAAGAATTTGGCGGTGGTAAGAGAGGCCAGCGGGAATCGACGGAGAGATGACGGCGACGGTGACGGAGTTAAGGGTGTCCGTAAAAAATTGGATTAAAAAAACGGATCAGTTCATACGTGTCCATCGGGTTCGCTGGTTCAAAATATAAATTATTGGTTTATATTTCTATTATTGTTTCGTTAAATATAAACAATTGCTCTGTTCTAAAATATATAGGTTTTAAAAATAAAGAAAATATTATTGAAATTTTGAATTGTGGTCTATAAATGAGAAAACATGTAAATGTAATTTCATACGTTATGCTAGATTGTGGTCTAAAAATGAGAAAATATGTAAATATAAATTTGAAAATATGTAAATGTAATTTAAGATTACTCTTAAATAAATAAATATTATTATTTTTATGAAATATTAAATCTTTTAAAATAATATCTAAAAATTAATATTAATTGAATAAAAAATCTAATATATCAAGAGATCAATACTTGTTATTTAAAATATCACTTGTGCTAGATTCATAAAATTGTACAGATAATTTCAACAATTATAAAAACAATGTTTCATTAAAATATTTTAAGAAAAAAATTGTAAGCAGTTTTATAAATTTTTTTTGTTCAGACACCCACGGCTCCATTTTTTTTTTTTTTTATAGTTTTGAAACTAATTATACATAGAGTGGACACAATATCTAAAGAGATTTTAAAAGGAACATTATTATTTAAACTCTTTTTATTTACTTTCCCGTTCTGACATAATAATCCGAAGATTCCGAAGTGCCATATATATATATATATATGTGTGTATATATAGGAAATAAAATAAACTGTTGGAGGTGGTGAGACGTCTTCCACCTTCGCTCCATCCCGCCATTTGTCTGCAGCATCGCTTATACACACGCACTACTTCTTCTTTCGCCTCTTTGAAAGATCTCCAGTTCTGAGATCTGCTACAAGGCTTCACGAAGAACACATATTCTGAATCTTCTGAAAAACCCGAAAGAGATTTTCTCCTACCCTCCATGGGTTATCGCGTTTTTGGATTAAATTCCCCAAAACTTTTCAACGATAATGGAATCGGAGAAACCCAATCTCGGAGCGATCTACGGTGCCTTTGTGAGACCTTCATGGGCATTTCTTCTCCTTCTTTTCACCGCCGCAGCGATTCTCTCTCTCCAAATCTCCTCCAATTCCATTTTCCCTCTCTGGGACGCCCTCTCTGGATCCGAAAACCCGACGAGCCGACTCGGTGACCCGACTCAGTCCTGCTCCGGGTTCTTACGCGGCGAGCCGCCGCCGAGACGGGTCATGATGTCGATAACGGAGTTCGGCGGAGTCGGCGACGGCGAGACGTCGAACACGGCGGCGTTCCGTCGCGCCGTGCGGCACCTGCGGCGGTTCTCCGGTGAAGGCGGGGCCCAGTTGAACGTCCCCAAGGGCACGTGGGTCACCGGAAGCTTCAACCTCACCAGTAACTTCACGCTGTTTCTCGAACACGGAGCTGTAATTTTGGGATCCCAGGTAATTAAGATATATAATTTTTAATAAAAAATATAAATTATGGACAAGTTGTCTACTTGTGATTTGACTTTGAAGAACCGGATTGCTTATGTTCCGGGCATAGGATTGGATTCTAGACGGGACAAAAGGTTGTCCGAAGATGATTGCTTTCATGAGAATTATGAGGAACCAAAAAAAGGGTCTTAGCTTTCAGTTTGTGGGTTAAAAAAGTTTTGGTCAAATTGACAAAACGGATTTATGATTCTTCATTGTAAGCACGGTAAATTCTTTTCCTCATGCAAAAGCAGAGAAGGTTGCTCTTTTGTGCCCATCATTGATTGATCCTTGGGAGAAAAAATTTCTGCTGTGTAGTCTGAGAGTGCTTGTTCATGATTTCAATCAATGACAGGCATGACTGGTTATAGTTGGGATTGGTGGGTGTGAATTAATCGTATCCTTCATCCCAGTTACCGTGGATCAATCCCCACTTGGTAACTGAACGGTAGCATAGCCATGGACTGTGGATTCATGTGCTTCGCCATCCATTGCGTGTGATCGGGGTTTTACTGAGTGCTCGCTAGTAAAAATCGGTGGGAACGTAGTGTGTGTGTGTGTGATCTTTCAACCAGAGCGCAAGAGTAGTTAACAAGATCCGAGACAAAGAAGAGAACTCGTCTTTATGGCTTATACCTTTCTGCAGAGACAAACCATAGAAGTCTGATCAGTTATCTAACTTTTTGTCTCTCAATACAGTTTCTTTTGTCTGTAGCATGATGATGTACGAATAGATCTATCATGTTACCTATGTTTTGGAGTTTCTAGTTCTTGAATTTAGAGAATAGCGTTGTTTAAAAATATTCCCAAGTTTGCTGTCATGTGCCGTTGGACTTTAAATGTTTTGTCTGCTAGCGTTGAGCACAATCTCACGTGTTACGCAACTCTACAGGTCTTCCGTGCATGTGTCTATGATGATCTGTTTTTAGTCCCTTAAGTTTATCTTATTATTATTATTGACTTATAATGTTTTTAATTCCGGATCTAAGGTGCTACTCGATACAGATGGATGTTTTCATTTCAATTATGTAAATTATGTTCATGTCCGGTAGGATCTAAGCGAATGGCCGGTAGTGGAGCCCTTGCCTTCGTATGGAAGAGGACGAGAAAGACCCGGGGGTCGACACATTAGCCTCGTTCATGGAGATAGTCTCACTGATGTTGTCATTACAGGTGCGTGCTCTGCTATCATATCGAACAAAGTAAAGTTGCATAATTTCTTGGCAATTTCAGTCAAAGTTTATATGGGGACTCATTGGAAGGTTTGCCCTGGTTTCCTCTCCTTGGAAATAACATGTGGAGATATATTACTTTACTAGACAAAATTTTACGAGATCACAAATAAGCCGCCTTAACGAGAAGGGGCTTTAAGCACTAACACCGACAAGTTACAAACTGTGAATATTGCGCTCTGTGATTCCGCGAATTTGTAATTTACGCGGTGGAGCAAATTTGCAGGAGAAAACGGGACAATAGATGGGCAAGGGAAGATGTGGTGGGAGTTATGGTGGAACAGAACATTGGTCCACACAAGGGGCCATCTTGTTGAGCTCAAGAACTCCCATGATGTTCTCATCTCCAACCTCACTTTACTCAATTCTCCATTTTGGACAATCCATCCAGTGTACTGCAGGTTCCCCTACTCTTCCTCGTATCTATGATTCTGTGGTCTGTATTCTTGTCTGGATAAATACTGACCTCTGTTACCTGTTCTTCAGCAATGTTGTTATCAAGAATATGACAATCTTGGCACCGATGAATGCCCCTAACACCGATGGTATTGACCCTGGTACGTTTTACTCTTCGGACATTCGTTTTTGTTTCTGCTTCTTCTGCCCGTCTTCTCTCCTCACCCGTCCCCGAACATACAAATGTTTGTAGATTCATGCACCAATGTTTGCATAGAGGACTGTTACATCGAGAGTGGGGACGACCTCGTGGCTGTGAAGAGCGGGTGGGACCATTATGGCATGGCCATGGCCCGTCCGAGTTCTAACATCATCATCAGAAGGATTTCTGGAACAACCACTACTTGTTCTGGGATTGGAATAGGCAGCGAGATGTCTGGTGGGATTTCCAACATAACCGTGGAAGACATTCATGTCTGGGATTCTGCTGCAGGGATACGTATAAAGACCGATAAAGGTAGAGGTGGGTACATCACCAATATCACCATCAGGAACATACTGATGGAGAAAGTGAAGATTCCGATTAGATTCAGCAGCGGCTCAAACGATCATCCGGACGACAAATGGGATCCGAGAGCTATCCCGAGAGTAAAAGGGATCTACATAAGCAACATTGTCAGTCTGAATTCGAGAAAAGCCCCGATGTTGCTTGGGGTTGAAGGCACGTCGTTCGAAGATATATGCTTAACGAACGTTACTCTTCTCGGGCTACCACAGTCCGCGGAATGGAAGTGCGAGAATGTTTCCGGGTACACGACTGGCGTCTTCCCGTTGTCGTGCCCCGAGCTGCGGAACAACAGATCAGCTTCTCGGTGTTCATAGTCGACGATCCTGAAATGTGTATTTATGTACTTCTGATGAGCAGTTTAGAGTGAAATCTTGTTCTGGGTTTGATCCATTTGATGTTCTTCAGACAACATGACCATGAGTTCCAAAAATTTCGGGGATGAACCATGGGTCTGTCTGAAACACAATAGTTATAGGATATGTATTTGGTCTTTGTAACTTTTTTTTTGTTGGTAACCATTGATCTTTTTTTTAATACACATTCATTTGACATTCAAACGTAACTCAACACAATATAACTAAATGAAATATAAACATACTATATTAATACAACTAAATGAAATATAAACATACTATATTAATACAGAAAAAAAAAACCAATTAAGGTGAAATGTATATCAATTCTATTAGTATAGTACTTAATATGCCCATCATCACATCATGCTACATTTCTTGATCATCATCACCATTGATTTGATGCTCTTCTTATGTCATCAATCATTTGAATATTATATATATATATATATATATATATATTGTTGGTATTTTAGAGTTAACGGTTGATTGGTTTTCAATCTCTCATGAATTTATTTACATATGTATTATGAGTGTGGTGGATGAGTTAAATACTTGAAAATGATATGTAATGAATTGTTTTAAGTGTTATGGTTCGTCGGAAGAGTTTACATTCGGGTTTGAAAGATAATAGTGATCTCAGAAAAAAATTGGAGCGCAGCTCAAAAATGTGTGCGGACAACTTGCTTTTTCTGAGGAATAAAGCTCTAATAAACGATAGCTCTAATAAACGGACGGGAACCCGTATTTTCCGAGTGACCGTTTGAGCGAAAAGTCGCAATCGGTCGGCGAAAACTTCTGAGTTTTCTTGTCTTTTCAACGTTCTGGTGTTTATAAACACACTAGAGGACATATAACAAAAAGAAGAACATAAAAACACGGATTGATGACAAGATCTAATTGATTTTGTAAGAGATTTGAGTGTTCCTACGGATAGTTGTTCTACAGAAAAACTATCGTAAGAGTCTCTTTGTTTTCGGTTAAACAAGGTTTTGTTTGATGATTATCAAAAGGATAAACCGAAATCATTGCCGCTTCATTGTATCTCAAAAGTGTGTTCCTATAATCTCATTTATCCAGTAGGGATGGAATAACGCTTTTAGCAAAGTGTTCGTGAACGACTTGAAATCATATGTGGTTTCCTACTATTTTACACATGTTTTGATTGGTTGAAGATGAGATTATCGGATCAGATTGAAGTTATCATTTTATCGGGTACGTATACGTTCTTATTGATTTATTTCTCCAACATATATGAAGTTAGGTATGGTGAAATAGTCATCGTCACGTGCTTTTTAACCAAATTATTCATATATACGTATATTATATATATACTTGGGGGCGTTTTGTGTGTATGTTCAAATCCTTAAATCATGTTCTCTATTCAGTCCGTCCACCAACATATGATTACAATCCATTACTTATTGAAGTTACGTATAGTTAGGACATTCATTACAGCTTTGTTCTGTTGCCTCGACAAGAACATGTTTTGCGCGCGCGCATATATATATATATATATATGTTTTTTTTTGTTAAAGCATATATATATATATTGAAAAGATTATTATTGTTAGTTCAAGAAATCATATGATATGAAAGTAGTTTTGAATAATTAAATTTGTTTATATATGTGTAGAAATATAAAATTGCAGTAATTAAATGAAAATGAAATACATATTTATAGAAAAATTAAGAAACAGACTAAAAAGAAAATATAGATACAATGTAAACAAATCAGATACACAATATTTGACATAATGATATTGTACCCATTATTATTTTCTATCATGTCTCAAATTTTATTTTGTTTCTATCATATATTTATTTTCTCATTTTAACGAAATGCATACCCGTAAATCCAGTAGAAAGAAAACGATTTCTCTTTCTTTTTCCGGCAAAAATTTGTTGGTGACTGTATAATATAACAGACGCATTAAAAAATCATATAATATATGTTTTCTGGTATAAGCTCCCTATTCAGATAGCTACTTACAATCTCTCTTGAATCAACAATGAATGATATAATTTGGTAAGTAAGATGGTTAATTACTCTTTGAATAAGCACATACTGATATTTATGCATATATATATATATATATGTATGTAATTATGCACATACATATTTAGATTCAAATGCATATTTCGATACATTCATAAGCACATAAATGTGTACATTATGTATATATATATAATATGTATGTATATATAGATATAGATTGATTGAACATGAGAATTCTAGTTCAACACCCACAAACAGAAGATTGGGAAAAAGGATGAAAGTGAAACATAACCCTAATGATAAAAACCCTCGTTTGTAATTTAGTGATGATATTCCTAATCTAAGAAACTAATCCAACACCAAGAAAATCAAAGAAAGCAACATTGTTCTTCCCCTCATCATCATCATCATCATCATCTTCTCCAATCGATCCATAGGCTTCTCCTTCACGATTTGTATTCTCTTCTTTACTTCCACGGCCACAATCGTTGACTGACGACGATCCAAGATGATGATTCCTCGGTGCCAAAATGACAAGATTGTGATTATAACCCTTCCTCGCCCCAGAAACATCGAAGAACAACGATGAATCAGACGCGATTGTTGAACCGGTATGCACCCAAGAATTAGGCCACGGGCCTTGTTTATTGTCATCTTGGCATCTCCATAATCCTAAGTTCGAGTTGCTAACCCTAGGGAGATCATAGCTATGGCTAGAAGAGGTTTTCATGCTTCGCCAATCCCACTTGAAACTAGAGGACGCGTAGGAAGAGAAGTTTTCGCGCTTTCGTCTCGCCGTGATCACGTGGAAATGGTTCTTGACAGCGTTATCCGTCCTCCCGGGGAACAATCTCGCGATTGAAGCCCATCGGTTCCCTTGAATCCGATGAGCCTTTATCAGTCTCTCCTCTTCTTCCTTGGTGAATGGTTTCTTGTTGATGTTTGGATCTAGTTGATTATACCATCTCAGCCTACAGCTTTTCCCTATGCATATATAAACCAAGAAACAGGAACAAGATCAAGCTATATATACATGCAGTGTTCTTGAAAAGGGTATATACATATATGGGCAAAAAGAAAAAAGAAAGACTGGGATATCTATGTTACCAGATCGTCCCTCGAGATGTTGAGCGATGAAATTCCAGTTCTTGGGTCCGAATTGCTCCACGAGTCGCCGGAGTTTGTCGTCCTCGGCAGGTCTCCAGTGACCTCTTTGGCAAGTTTTGGCACTCTCATAACTGTTGTTGCTTGTTCTTGAGATTTCCATGGAAAACTATACTATCTATATGTGTATAAATAAAGGATTCGAGAGAGAGAGAGAGATGAAATCGACCGATCGAGTTATTTCCGGGTTGTACTCGGAGAGATTAGGAATTGAAGAGGAACAAGACAGGCGATGAACATAGTTTGGTCTAAGAAGACATGATAGAAGGATGAAAATAAGAACAAAGATCTAGAAAAAGGTATATATGAATAAATAAGAGTGGGTTGGTTATGCTCTCTCTCTCTCTCTCTCTCTCTCTCTCTCTCTCTCTCTCTCTCTCTATTCTTATCTTTCTTTTTAGGTTATGGATGAGAAGTCACTTTTCTTCTGTTTACAAGACAAAGCCCTCAACTGATTTTGTATATGACTTGTCAACATTCACATACGCACATCCAGGTGCTTCAACACATGCGTATACACATACTTACATACATACATATATGTGCCATATATTTTCTATATATATATATGCGCAAGTTTTAACTCAATATAATCGTGTAAAGATTATTTTGTTCTTTAATTGATGCCGAGAGGGGATGCCATGCCATACACTCTAGGGGTAAGAGAATTTAAATGTTTATAAGAGTGTTAAAAGGGTTATAACGAATATGCAAACTATTCAACTGAATGTCGAGCTAAAAACAATTAATATGATTCGAAAGAGATATATATACACTAGTATATAAACTTTAAAATTACGTTGACTCTCCATAATAACTAATTTGTAACCGGAAAACTTTCACAATTCATTACAAAAATAGAATGATTACATGATCAAATAACATTAAGACTCAAACTTTTGCGTTCTAATGGTAAAAAGTGATGGGTCGTGCTGGGACCTCAAGCACCGGTTCACAACCGGTCTCGGGTCTGGTCCGCGGGCTTGCGCAGCGGAATTGGCGTTCAAAACGTTTTTGAACCGCCCACGGACCATGGTTTCGGTGAAGAACCTCTTGGAGAGTAGAACTAACCTTTTGATTCCGAATCAGAAGGTTGTTGCAGATCACATCTAGGTGTTGAAGCAGCCAACACCCTCTTGAGCAGTCCACACCCTTGGGATGGTTTCCAACACTTGGAAACTTGCTTGCTAGAGCACTTAAGAGATCAAATCTCTCTTTTGGATTCAAGAACACTCCTCAACACTTGAGAGAGTTTTCCAGAGGTTCCTGTGGCTCATCAGATGGCCTAGGACGGAATTATGATCGACCTAACCTTCCCCACCTGCTTCCCATGCGAGAAAAGGCAAGAAAAAGTCGAATTAATGATTCAGGAGCTTGGTCCGGGCGGACCAGAACTTGGTCCGCCGGACCGCACGTTAAATGGCTCGGGTTGACTTCGATCCCGATCCGGCGGACCAAGTGCCTGGTCCGCCGGACCAGCCGAGTCCGGACCTCCATGAGTCCGCCTGTTGTCTGGTCCGCGGGTCCGGCGGACCAGACAACAGGCGGACTCATGGAGGTCCGGACTCGGCTGGTCCGGCGGACCAGGCACTTGGTCCGCCGGATCGGGATCGCGCGGAGTGCGGTCCGCCGGACCGACCCTGGTCAGCTCCGGACCGGACCTGATTTTCGGACTTGTCTCCCGATCATTTCGATCGTCTGGTCCGCCGGACCAACAGTTGGTCCGGTCCGGACCAGACTCAGACTTCCCGGAAAAATCCAATTTTTCCGTCCAATCTTTTCCCGTCCGTGTATATCCATCCCTTATGTGTGTGACCCTTTAGGCTCCTCCGAAGACGGCAGTAAACACGAGATCCAATCTCGCTTTACAAATCATAAGCGGTCTCTAGCAAGACATTATGATTACCCGCATCGGAAAGAGTTAGATGTGATCTAACCGAAAAGCCAGAGATAGCTCCAACGATGATCCTCTTTGTCTCACGATATCATAATCGAACTCATAGTTCGAATGCTTTGTCGTATCCCGAGTAGACTGTTAGAGATAGATGACATTCATCTATAGTGTGGCCACACATTTCCACAGTCTCACTCCTACGACGGGCCCAAGCGATATCTCTCTCTTTCGAGAGGGACAAAGTTCCATCTTGACTATCTACTATCCATTACATGATTCATAATGTACCCGAGCC